ACAAGTTACCCAGAGAAACTGTGGATGCCCCAACCCTGACTGTGTTTGAGGCCAGGTTAGATAAGGCCTTGGGAAACCTGATCTAGTGGGAGGCATCCCTGTCCATGGCAGGGGTATTTGGACTAAATAATCCTTAAGGTCCCCTCCAAACCTTAACATTCTATGATTCTAAGAGCATTCCCTATTCTGATAGGAGTTTGGTTTGCCCCTGTGTAAGGGTCTGCACTTCCAGGTTCCTGTATTCCCTTAGGAAAGCGTATTTCAGCTTAGTTCAACAGTTAAAGAGGAAAAACTTGGCAATTTCTACTGTACCTTTGAGAACTTACTCATTGGCTTAAAATCTGATGTCAAACCTGGCATCGAGTGATCCAGGTAAAGTGGTATGGTTCTGAAAAGGCCTGGGGAAAAGGCCAACTCAGCCCAAACTGATGCAACATTTCTGAACTATTCCCAACCTACCCAATTAATGTGCACTGAATATTTTTGGAGAACAGATGCCACTACGAGTTATTTCATACCTGCATGGTGTGAAGTCTGCAAGGACTCTTCAGTGGCAGAAACACAAGCTTTCACAGAAAACAGCGACATCCACCAATTCAAATAGGATCTCATCGAGACCAGCAGACATACTCAAAAGACTCATAGGCAATTTCAGCAAGATGGAAAGGGCCTGATGTATCCAGACTGAAAGCAAAATGATCTAAAATAGCCATGAGGAGCTTCCATTAAGATCAACTTGAGAGAGGAGCAGGAATTTTTTGCTGTCGCTTGGGAGGGGGGAAAAGAATACAGAGAGAAGCAGATCTAGTTCAGATAAGCACCACCCTTAAGATTTGTGAAGTTTTTTTCCCTAGTTGGATGGGAGAGAAAAAGCTCTTGTACCCCTCAGGCAAGCTGTGTTCTTCAGAGAACTGGATGCAAGGTTGGACACAACATAGAGGTTCTGAACACCATGAAGATCAGTCCTTCAAAACTTACAGTAAAATACCCCCACCTACACACACAATTAGTACTTCACCATATTACAACTAAAATCACGAGAAGCCAGTCTGAATCCTTGTTCAAGAGAGCAACTGGGCAAAAGTTGCCTTGAACATTACATCCCCTGCTCTCAACTAAGTAGCACAGTTCCTGACTCTACTTGTAACTAATAAGGAGAATTAACTTTTATTTTGCTGGACAGGAAGATAAGCAGCAAGTTTTAACAGAAATTCCCATTTCCTATTTGTCAGCCTTTTCTTAAACTGTTCCATGTTCATGAGAAACTTACAACTCCAAAGAGAATACTTAAAGCACCCCAACTCCTAGTAGCAATTCAAGCAGGGTTTTAGTGCTATTCACTTGAATAGCATTCAGTCAGTCAGGGAAGCTGAAACAATAACATATGTGAAACAGCTTGAATCTTGAGGATATGATCTATACAGAATTAGTTAACAGAATTTTTTTCTTTAAACCCACACACTCACCATAACATTCATTTAGTAAATCTGAATAAGAACAGCATTCAAGAGAACACAATCTGCATGTGAACATTCTGTGAAGAGAAAGAATGAATTCCATGAATCAATAATTTGCTTCAATTGTCTTGGTTCTGTTTACTATCTACGCTATGTTTGATGAGTCTTAACTTATTAATGTTGGACATCCTCTGTTTGAAATCTCTGTATAAGGCTCCAAGTGAACACAGTCTGTGTTTACTTTGACTTCACAGATAATTCAGCATCTGCTGAAGAGTTTTCAGACTGCAATGGACTTCATTAAATCTGCTGTCTTAAGTTCAGGGAAAAAAAATCTCTGCATCATGTCAATTTGAGGCAAGAGGCCATTCAGTATCTCTTATTTTGCAAAACAATATTTTTTATATTATGTTGATATCATATATAGTATTTGAGTTAACATTAACATAATAATGATGACATATGTGCTATTACCATTACAATGTTGGCATGTTGATTTTTAATATTGACAGAGCTGCCCAAAATATCTACTGTTTACAACATTTGTTCTAGCTAAAGAGATTTGGTAGCATTTGCTAATCAACTGCAACCACTTCCCACCCATAAAACTGATGCAAATAAGGGGGAAAAAACAGCTAGAGGGATCCAAAGACATAAACACTTTTACTTATAACTCTGTAAAGAGAAATCCCTCTCTCTCTCTCCATATGGCTTTCTCTTGGCTCTTAATCATCTTTTCATTGGCTTCCAGCTGGGTGTCTCACTATCAAGACCAACTTGCTATGCCAAAGTCAGGCTCAGAAAGATGAGAGCTGCAGAGTGGCATGACTGGATGCAGCAGTTTTTACTAGGGGCAAGTCTAGCATAAAGGGTGCATAGCAGGGTCACTTCACTTGCCTGAGCCAAGCAGGCACTGCTGTGTTCCCAAAACACAGCAGCAGGTCTATGTTCACACTTTTTAGTAGCGGGAGCGAAGAACAGCTACTACAATTGAAGCTACAGGGAAATTCTGCAGGCAGAAGTGTAATTACCTGAGTGGGAATTCTGGCAGAAAACCCAGACCTCTTTCTCTCCTTAAATAGAAACAAATACTGTGCAGTCACCATGGAGAGATTACATACAGCATTTGGATCACATACAGCACTGAAATACAACACACACACAAGAGAGCCAGCCATGGAGCTGGCTTAGCAAAGCACAACCAAGTCAGGTCTCCACTGACTACAGTCACCATTTCAGCCATCATCCCATTCTTACAAATATTAAGCTATCTGTCAAAATTCATGCTCTGCGTTAAAGGTCAGCTCTGCAAGCTCTTTGGTCCATCTGGGAGGACCTAGAGCCTGACATGACATGCATGAGACAGAGATGGAAGCACTCACATATTGATCTACCACTACCCAGGTAAGATTTTAAATTAAGAATAGAAGAAAACCACAGGGAAAGAAACATCCTATAGTGCCTGTGTGTGAAGGCCTGTTTGGATTTAGCTAAGCAGCCAGTCACTGAAGTGCAGCAGTTCTTGTACAGTCTGCAGAGGCTTTGACTTGCAAAAATTCTTTGTTTTGGTCCATGTTTGCTGGACTTTGGTTTCCAGTCATCCCATGCATTCAGGCCTACCTCCTCATCTCTCTCTCTAGCCATTCCTTCTGCTCATTCCAAAAGCCAGCTCATTTTTTTGCCTACATCCCCCCAACAGCCCCTGACTCAATGCCAGCTTCAGCCCCCCTCTCCTGGGGTGTTTTCCCCCTCTATTCCATCACCCATGTCCCCAAGCTCCTTCCAGGGGGAGTCACCAGAGCACAGGGAAAATGAGCACCCTTTTCCTTCTTCAGGCACAGTATGGGCTGCAGTTTTGCAGTCTTTTTTTTTTTTTTTTTTTGGCTTCAAAGTCCCCTCCAAATGACTACTTGTGCTCACTAGTTGTCAGGGTACTTCCTCTTTAGCCACCTGACTATTCAGTCCTGTTTTCAAAGAGAAATATGGCTACTCAGAGTCCCTGAAAAATCCACCATCACTTTCTATTCTTCAAAGTCAGCAGGACTGTTACCAGACTTAGAATCTCAGAAATTTGCCCCTCCCTTTCAAACCAGCCAACCTTTGCTTTGTTAATAACTGCAGTCAACTTCCAAGCCTTAGAAGAATGTTTTTTATCTGCATATATGTCAGGGTGGTGATACTAAATGGGAAATGGTTCACATGGTTCACTTAGCAGGACCGGCAAAGCCTTGCTGTGTATCAGAAATGCCATTCCATGGAGAGTACTTTTCTCCCCTCTCTGCAGCAGCTCACTAATTTAGGTGCATAAATCAGAGACAGCTGATAAAGTCACAGATACCAGGATGTCCTGCCTGCCATTTAGTTTTCCCAAGCATCCTGCAAGCCATCAAACAGCTTCAGATTTGGAAGTTTTGAAAACAACTCTCCTCACTTTAAAATAATCATACATTTCAGTTTCCTTCACATTCCACTAGCAATTATAGAAACAGCTATCTGATTTTGTAGTGATTATTCCCCAGCATGCACATCCCTATGACTGGCTTTTGTTTCTATTCTCACAAGACAAAGCATGGAGAGACCTGCACTTTTTTCCCCTTTCCCACCATTACTGGTCTTCTCACAGCTCCTCTTTCTCTCCAGTTTCCATGTTGTGCTTCACATAGGTTCCATTCCGTGGGTTTTCTTAAAGGGAAATATCTTAATTTGTATTTATGAAAATCTGCTATTTTTTCACATAGCACACATCCTGCTGCCTTGACTGTACTGAAACTTGCTTATTTTTAATGTTACATATTAATGAAAAGCTGCTAGAATGAGAGAAAGGATTTTCTATCATCAGTCAGCATCAGCATGAGAGCAGTCTGCTCTTGAAAGCCTCTAGCTCTGATTGTTCACAACCACACTGTTCCCCATGTCAGTTGAATCTTGTGCGTCAGATATTAAAAGTTCAGGCTCTAAGTGCACAAATCCTGTTGAGATCTGAGAAAGTTCTTTGCCATAAATATTAATGGGGGCCAATTTCATGCCACTTGTTACATCCCATGTACAATACTTCTTCAAACTATCCCTTGTCTTGTCTTTTATGTGCCAATAATCAATTTGTAAAGCATAAATCATAAAGCTTACCTAGTTTTTGATTATGCTACAGCCTATGATTTAGCATTTAATCAATTTTCTTACTTTGATAAGTGACGTTATTTCCATTTTATCATCTTATCTGTGTTTGAAGGAACAAATAAAAGTCACCTCTTTGAAAGATTAAAATTCCATCTATTATTTACTTAAAACCAAGTTTTAGAACTGCACCATCACAGCAAGCATTTAATCAGAAATGCAAACAAGAAGCTCAACCTGTACATCCTGTTCTGCCCTACATCAAGCATCAATCACATTTCAGCATTACCTCGTGCAATCGGCAAACATCTGCTAAAGAGAAAACAGAACAGCAGCAACAACAAAATACCCACACACCAAAAGGTTACTAAACTTGCATTCTGTGTGAATGCAGACAGAGCACAAGAGTCAAGTCCCTGTTGATCAGGGATGAGGAAAGAACGGGATGTTTTGGAAGACAGCTGTTTCTCGAGAGCCAGCAGGTGCGCGTTTGAGCGCGCCCTGCAGCGCCAGGAGGCCGGCACAGAAGGCGCAGCCCCACACACGCTCTGGGCTCGGCAGAGGCGCTGCCCAGAGAGAACCTGGAGCCCTAAGGAACCTTAGGGCAGTGCTTTGCACAGTCAGGCAGGGTGCACTGGGGCAGGGAAGATCACTTCGGGCTCCCTGCCATGCAAATGAGTTTATTCAGCTTTCCAGGCAGAGCAGCTGAGAGCTTGGACTGGAGACAAGAGCAATGCAGCAGGCTGCCTGCAGCCAGCCGGCCAGAGCGATCGCTTAGGCTGGAGTCACACTGTCTCAGCACTGGGGTTCATGGGATTCTGCAAGTCTACTGGCCTTACTATTTAAAAGAGGCATTAGTCATGTAAACATCTCAGTTTCTCATAAATACACAGAAAATATGACAAGTTTTAAAGAAATGTTGCCACAAGTCGGAGTAAGGTCATAAAATTCATTTGTTACCAGGGTCCCAGGAAGTTAAAAAAAACAACTCCTTGAGTTTTTTTTCCTCAAACAATTACTTGAGCTTTTGCTCCCCTTCAAAAGGTTTTGAATCCTTAGTTCATACAAAGAGTCTGTTTCATGTAAATATTTGGGGAAAAAATATTCTCTTTCTTCTAACTGTAACTAGCTGATGATGTCAGCACAAGTGACCTAAGACATGATTTTCAACTGACAGCACTGACTTAACATTTCTCTGCTGTCGTTTATAACAACCTCTTGAAAGCATAAACTATGGCTGCTTTTTTCTTTTTTTAAATCTCCTACAGACATCTAAGGATGTGAACAGGCTCAAACAGTAATCAAGAAATTGTACAATGATCTCAAAGGATGCTTAAAACATTCTCCCTAGCCTGTCCTTGTCTCCCAATGACATTTTCTCCCATTTAGAAGCTTGCCTTACTACCTGAAATTCCAGATTTAGAACTGATCTTTTTCCATGGCTAATGGTGTTGAAGTATACTTAACAAATTTGACCAGCCATTGAAATGTGTGTATTTTACAGGACAGTATCTTCATCCAGCAGCTTGAGTCCCCACAGGAGGTTCACTAACACCCTGAATGCCCTGAAGAGACTTGGGGCTCCAAGACCAGCATCCCAGCTCCACAGATGAAACATAGTCCCTTCTTCCATCTTCTGGAGTGTCTGGACAAGAACAATGATGTCTGTATGCCAAGACATAAGTAGAAAGCTTTCTGTGGAGTTATTTATTGTAGAAACAGGCCCTGGCAACAGTTAGACTCCATGGTGATAACAAATAACCAGGCTCTCAAGGAAGAGAATTGGGCATTCCTACTCCCCAGACTTGCAGCAAGGAGCAGATGGTCACAATTTCCCCTTAGGCCACAATATTTCTAGCCAGGGTGCAGTGGCAGAGCTGCCTTCTGAGGGCCTACAGAACCACCAGGGAGCCAAAAGCCAGGGGGTGACCTCTTCCCCATGGACTCTGTCTGAAATACATTAGGAGATGCCTTAGCACAAGAGTGTACCAGGAGGACATGGGCACACAGAGACATCGTTTTGCTGATGTTGGGGGTGGCTCTGGCTCTGTCAGGGAGCTCTGAAGGAAAAAGGCTATCACTCACTCAGCTCAATGCAATCCTGCTACAGGGAAAGCAGATTCACCATTTGGCCACAGGTATGATCTGATTTCATAGCACCTGAAAAGTTGATTTTCACAGTCTGTCCCACTTGCCTCATTAAAGATACAATTATAGACACTTATCTCCTACACCAGTGATGAATTACAACACTGCAGCAAGGTGGATTTTGCCTCAAAAAGTTATTTTGAGGCAGGGGGCTTGTATAGATGCAAATATTATGTATGCAAGATATATATGTGAAGCTTTCAAAGTTGAGTTGGCTTAAGCCCAAACATACAAAGAAGAGACAAATTACACTGAGGCTCTAATCCTCCATTATTAGGAGGTTCAAAGCTATTGCTTAGAAGGTGCACAAACTAACACCTTACCAAGTGCTAATTTAAAACTCAGTTTTAAATTTCTAACCAACGTTCTGCATACAGAAGGCCCTTAAAGTACTGAAGCAATACTCTCAATAGAGTAAAATGGATTGTGGCCACATTTAAGCCTAAAGTTATGCTTTGTTTTGAAATTTGAAAATAGAAAATTAATTTTGATTAATTAATTTGAAATGGTCCAAGAGACCTTCACTGACCATCCACCTGTGACAGAACATGGATAAGTTATCAGGAATGCCTCTGTCTTCCACTGTACTCTGAATCCCACAATTCTATAGGACTATTCTAGAGAGCCCCTTATATGTTTAGAAGCCCAAGGAGCTTTTCACATTTGTGTCTTCATCTTGCTGTAGACTAGAAATGACAGCATTGATGGAACAGAGATAGAGCCTCACAGGCTGGGGCAGCTTGACTAAAAGGGACTTCAAAGGACAGAGCCAAACTTGAAGATGAGACAAGTGAGGAAATCTTCCCCAAGGAACCACCATGAAGATTTACTTCTTTTCAGATAACCCAAGCACAGGTTAACAACAACAGAAGTTCATAACAGCCTCACAAACACAGACCTAGGAGGAAATAATCTTGAAGGTCTATTGCTACAGCCAACTTCCACACTAGGAATCGTTCCTGCTGTGACACCATGCAGACTGAGCTCTTAGCACTGGTTAAAGCCATGCCATAGTAACACAGAGTAGCTGATGATGATGATGCTCTTCTGCATGACTCAACCCTCACTATCAGAAGAGGAAGCAGGGTCAATACTTTTCTTGGAAGATGCCCAGAACAGACCAAGAGAACAAACCCAGCCTTGTCCCCAGGGGCACAAGGGGACCCTCTCTAGCTGGGATTACAGTACATTGGGAAGGGAGGTTGCCCACAGGAGGGCTCTCAGTCTGGTGTTACAATGAGCCAGTTTTTACCACAGCCAATACCATGCCCTGACAAGCAGCAGTAGAGACAGTAAGTAAATATCCTTTTATTTCTTCACATATGCAACCAGAGGTTGCAAGGCCAGGTATAATATGAAAAAAAATAAAAACTCCAAAAATCATCATGGCAATGAGCAAATGTGTGCAAAGAACTTTTTCTTTCATATGCAAGTGAGCACTTAAACCCAAACTTTTCTATAATCTTAGGATACCACTGCAGTAAGAGTTGCTAATGGAGAAGCAGGACCATTTTTTGGTTTATCTCAGCCCCCTTATTTCAAAGTTTAACTCTTATATTTTTCAAGTGCTGTGAACATCTTATGGTTCACAAACATGCTAAATGGAGTATCTACAGTGATTGTTTACTCTCTACAATAAACAAAAGCTGTAATAAAGTATTTCAAATAGAACACAAAAAGAGTAATTAGTGGTGTTTGCTAATCATTAAAAAAGACTTAACTCCCAATACCACAGAAGGATGTAATGAAAGGATTTCATTTCATATTGAACAAAATTATTTGCTTGTTCTGAAACAGTTTCATTTAATTTTAACCTCGCTTTCCTCCCACTTTCTAAAGGATAACTTCACAGGAAATTTCTAAACAGAAAGTTTTGAGATCATGCTTCAATCTTCTTTTTCCAACACCAAAAAAAACCACACCATACCAAGACACTTCAACCACATTTTTTCTCCTGAATGGATTAGTAAAACCAATACAAATTCACATCACTTGTCAGCGTTGCCCACTCATCCTGCTTTTATTTTTTGCCAGGGTGCATTTTGCTGTATACTGGCTTCTGACATTTGCATGTTCTGACTGACAGCTGAACCCCAGTGCTTTTTGGGTAACTGGTTTGGTTATTTTAGGAGCAGAGTCAGCTACAGGGTGGTAGATGTTCTGTATTTTTGTTTTACAACTAAAAAATAAGACAACGTTGTCATACTCACTCTGCTTATGAAGACTGGCAGATGTCAAATATCTGCAATTTTGATTTGGTCCAAGCATTTTTCATACAAGAGCTCTCACTTCTACCAGTAGAGACTGGGCAGATGGTAGAACTGTCAGTTGAGGGCTTCAAAACATGATGGGTCTTGGCCCTAAAGTTGCTCATTGTTTATTCATGTCTAATATGTGGAAACTAAACAGATACTCAGAAGAGTTATCAAATAACTTGGGTTTTAGTCCTAATGCTGTCTATAAACATATAATTGTTGAAATGCTTATGATCAGACTCAAATGTAGCAATGCTGTTACAACAAAAATCACATACCACAAAAATGCATGAACATTTGGGTCTGTTTAACAGACAAACAATGATCTTTACAACATGGCTCATTAGTAGGCTTGTACTACACCATCCTAGTCTGGCTTTCTCCAACCAGATCACAGAACCCTTAAGAATTCAAACTATCAAGAGCTCCTATGGACCCTTTTGGGAACATGCTCAAAAATTGGCTTCATGGGACTTCTGCATAAGCTTCCATGCTTTCCAGAACATACCCCTGCCTCTGGGTGTAACTGGACTTGGCACCTGCACCATTCTTCAAGCCACTAAAACATTTATTGCAAACTTTAAGCAGTGAAGAGAGGCTCCAGCTGGCCTTCTCCACTGGACAGTCTCAGTCTATGCAACCTCTTAAACAAAAACTCTGGCATTGGAAATACATCCTGAAGCTTTGCTTGAATGCCAAGTGCTGTACAAGTATTGAGCTTTAATGTTTACATCTTTTGATGACACACCGCTCACCAATGAGTTCATCAGTAAATCATCACCCTTAGAGGAAACAGAGAGGCAAAAATCATCTTTCTTGAGGAGCTGAGGATGCAGGGAATAATCAAGAGTCAGAGTACCACTGCCAGAACTGCAGAAGCATATGAGAACAAGGTAGGTGTCACATGAAACTGGACTCCGGCTACAGCTCTGGCTCTGCTGTGAGCACCCTGAGATGCAGCTTTTGTACTCTAAAAGCATCCACACATTTGTCCTCTAAGACTTTTAGAAGCAAGTTGTTTAACAGAGAACTGTGTTGTAGGAGTGTTAATACAACAGAAGTTGGCAATAGCTTCCATTGTTTACAGTTTCAGGGCTTGTTTCAAATATGGACAAAGGTAATAACAGTGCTAATAACCTACTCTTTGAAAAACTCACTGGAAGTACATGCCAGTAAGGGATACAAGCTTGTTTCTCAGGCCCATGAAACTAGAAGAAATGCTGCTATCAGGACTTAAAATGAAACTTAAATTAAGACATAGAAAACTTTAATAGCAACTGTTCTGAGAAACCTACAATTCATATTTGATCTCAACCTAAGCAACCATTACGAAATGGATTTTAAAAAAATATAGAACTGATATTTGACTAAGAAGCTAGTGTCCATCTTCTTTGCATTCTGAATTATAATCTGTGGCTTATTTTGGCTTCTGAACTCAAGTTTTTTATTTTGTTGTCAAGCATTGTGTTGAGGATCAGATGCCTCTCCTACATAGGCTTTTGAGTACAGATGTCAAGAAAGAGAGGGTCTGCAGGACATCTGTAAGGAGTTTAACACCTTTATGGATATGCATTGTTCAAAGCATGATTCTACCACTGCTTGAACACGGGAGCAATTCAAGCTTGAACCCAGGATGATTCTGAGTAGCTTTATCATTTGAGGGAAGCCATTCACACATCTCTAACCTCAGCCACTTACATTATTGAAAAGAAAATTTCACAGAAACTTCGATATTCTGTGATTCTGAGATAAAAAGGACTAAACAAGCAAGGGCTGTGTTAGTCTGGCCACTGGTGCTGCCTAACACATCTCCTATTACCAGCACTTTGGAAAATGGGGATAGAGGGTCTCCAAGTACAGCTTCTCTATAGCTTTTACTTCACACAGATTTTTGAGTATCCAAGAGGATTGGTCCCTCTGTGGCTAAATTTAGGTAACATACTGCAGGCAGGTTTTTGTATTTTTCCCCTTCATAGCAGAGGCAATTGTCTGCTCTTTTTCTCCTATTGTATTAAAAAGCTGCCTGGTATTAAATTACACACACTCTTTTATTGACAGAAACTCAGTCTTTGCTATTTCTCCTTAGAGAATTTCTATTCTCCCAACAGGAAGAAGGCACTTCTTTCAGTCTTAAAATGAGTACAGCTTTTAAAATGAACTTCATATTTTTTGCTAACAAAGCCAACTTTTCCAAGCAATACTTTATATTTGAGCTGGGCCCACTGCTGGGTAGCCTGCAAGTGAAAACATAAATCTGTCACTAGCTGTTAGTGACACAACATTAGCTCTCCCTTAGCAGCAATAGAAAACTCAGCTTGTGCTGCCTTCCTTGAGAATAACTTACTCCATTAAAGCTCAAATCCAGCAGATTTCCTATGAATAGGCAGATCAAACAGAGACACAGTAGAAAAGGTGCAGTACCCAGACATATTGCAAATTACAACATGCAGCTCTGAATTTTGCTCATTAACACACAGGTAAATTCACATCTGAAACTTTGGAACTGACCAGGAATAAGCATGAATTTATGCCAAGTTTCAGTCCTAGCACTACCTTCAATGAAGAAATGAACCCATGACCCTCACAACACTATAAAAGATGAGTACAACCAGGTTTGAGATTATTTTTACAGTAATACTGGGGAGAGAAGCTTGCTAGAGCTTTCCCTTTGTGTGCATAGTTCTGCATCCCTTAGGCCTTGGCAGCGTCACCCATCTTCTCCAGATTTCCTAGCTTTGGTCTTCCAACCATCCCTTACTTTATCCTCAGCAAAGGAACTCAAAGCAGTACAGGTTAGGATGCCTTGTTACACTTTTTTGTAAGCATTACTGCTCTAAAGCAGCAGCATCTTTGAGAGCAACATTTTATGGATCTAGCATCGCAAAGCCAAGCCATACACACCATGTATGGAGGATAAATCAACCTCTACAATTTTCACAGTGGTTCTTATTAAAAATGCTAGCAGAGACAGAGCTTTCACCTAAGACAGATATCTAGTCTTCCTTCCATTATTACATTTTAGCACCTGCTGGAAGTTGGGGGCAGGGGGAACCTCTTTGACCCTTTGTTGCTTCAAAGAGATTGTTTATCATGGGATATCTCAAGTTGGAAGAGATCCATAAAAATAATTGAGTCAAACTTCCTGCTTCTGGCAGGACTACCAAAAACTGGACCACATGACTAAGTGCCATTCAGAAGCTTCTTGAACCCTGACTGGCCTAGTGCCATAACCACTTCCCTGGGCAGCCTGTTCCAATGCCTGACCATCCCCTCAACAAGGAGCCCTTTTCTAATGCCTAAAGTACCATTGTGATGTCAGCATGAAGATGTTTAATTCTCACCTCTGAGGAGTTACATTGAACTCTTAATAGACACCCCTTCTCCCAGAAGTGGCAGGAGTTGAATTGTAGGCAGAACAGGATGCTTTAGTGCATTAACAGCTGTAGGATGTCATCTATCAGGTACCTTTTTTCCCAAGTCTGCTTTTAAAGGCACTCCTACATGTGCAAACTTTTGGAGGGTAAGCAAAAGCACCAAAAGCTGTCATTTCAAATGGAACAGTCTGTGGGTATTTAATCTCCTTATCATGAGTTATCATTTACAAGGAATGGGCTCAGGTTATTTTAGTGCTTCTTTTGCTGTTAGCTTTCGGTGTGGGTTCATTGAAGCTATGAGGACTCTTGATCTCCAAAACGGTTTAGCTCAAAGACAAGTTCTTTTCTTAGCTTGTATAGACACAGAACAATCTGGAAAGCAACCTGCTTGCTGAATACTCTGCTTTGTTTGGACATATTGGGAAGAATTTTCCACCCATCTCTTTATATGCAGTTTATAGTTTGTCTTGGGTAAGGAATAACATGGTCAGTGTACAACACCTTTGTGCTTTCACTGGAATGATCTCTCTCATTAAATAGAAGAGTTTCTATTTTTTTTTTTTTACAAAAATCCCTTTTGATTCATTTTTATGATGATTGAACATTGCTTTGTTCAGACTTTTTGTGTCATCTGCATTCAGAATGTCTCCTTTGTATATCAGTTTTCTTCCTACTGATTCATGCTCCACCTTCATCTCACTTCATGAGTCATCTTCTCTACTATTTGCAGCACTTAACACTTCTGGCAGTGAGGCCTGACTTCTAGAGTTATTTATGGCAATAAAAGGCTGAGGAGCAGATAACTCAGGAAACTTGTAACAGGATAGTGATTACCTCAACCCTAGGTCCTCGGTGTGGGTTTAACACTGCTAAACCTCACATAGAAAATGGCAGAATTCAGCCTCCTGGCTGATCACATAATCACCACATCTTCCAGGACTAAGTGCTGCCCTCAGCAGCAGGGCTGTAGGATTGGGCTGCTCATTTGTATGCAGCAGAGACCAGTGTTATGATTACTAAGCTTAACAAAACCATTCTTAAATCTCTTCAGCAGTGATCAAGTAACTTCTCTAAATCCTCAGGACCTCATTACCAAATCCCCACGTCTACTGGGTGTACAGCAACATTGCAAGCTCCACAGACACATCACTCACCAGCAAAGGGGAATTCTCACTGCAGGCAACACTCCCTCATGAGTGAGGTTATTAACACATCATTACTCTAGGCTTTCCCTGGTATTGGAGTCCATCACCTCCATGCATGAAACACAAAGGCAGAAGGCAAGCAGCAAAGTGTCACCCCAAAAACAAAATATACCCTGCTGAAAGCTTTTAATGTCTCTACAGAGGGATGCTCTGGGAAAGACACAGAAGAAACCCCCAGCTAGGCTGGAAAAAAAATTGGAAATGAGAAAGTGGGTGATTTTACAGTGAAGGACATGAAGCCTTCTGCTAAAGCAAAGAAACAGGTCATCTAATTCTGCTGTGTATTTTTCCAGTGTTTGTTTTGTCACCTGAAACACTCTACTTTTTAATAAATCAAGCTAATGTAGACAGTTTATGTACAGCCTACTAACAACATATGATTAACTGCAGTACAGTGGGTCTTATATTCATCTCAGAAACATTACAACTCCAGGGGCTTTTTTTTGCTGAAAGCCTGGAAGATTACTCTAAAAATATTCACAAGAGAGGAAACTTCTGGAGCAGTCTTTTTTTGTTCCTACAGCAAAAGATTCACAGCCCATGGACACCAGAACAAATTTACTAAATTCAGTGATAACTGGAATAATCTTCTGATCACATTTGGGGTAGAAAGACAGAAAGAACTGCTGCATGTTTTTGACAAATACCTACTACCATCCCTCAGCACAGAGCATTGCAGATTTTGGATTTTGTTCTAGATTAGGGAAAAGGAACTGAATAAAACACCACAACACATCACATCATTTTTCCCCCCAGAAACTGCTCACCAAACCACAAAGAAACAGACTGAAAAGGACTGCCTGAGTTTGGAAAGCCAGGGAGGTACAGACACCCTCAGCCCTCACCTTTAGATGCTGAGCCAGAGCTGTTGCTGAAGAAAATAACTGCAGTAGACAGAACAAACAATTGTACTGAGGAGGACACTGTCACTGAGTCTTGGTAACTTACAGCTGCATCAGTGAATCAATCTGGCTGTGGCTTGCAAATATGAAGAACTCCTCTGTTCCCTGCAAATGTCTTTTTTGAGGGCAGAAGTAAATGTTTTATAATGGGGCACAGCTGACTCTTGCTACTACCTGTCTCACCTGGGAAAAGGTATCTCATCTGTGTGTAACAACACACTAATTAGAAGAAACAGGTGAGAAGAAGCAGGAAGAGGCAAGTTAGTAATAAGCCAGTCACTAAATTCAAGCACATTCACATTATCATGAGTCTATCAAATTTAACTTGCTATTATTATATTATTAAATTTATCCAACTTCTTTATTGGCTCCATGACAAGATTCCCTTTTCCTAGGGATCAGGAGGTTGGAAACACATTGTATACACACAAGAATACATAAAAGCAGGAGCACACAGGGATAAAGCTGTGACCAGCAGGGATTTGGGGCAGTAGAAAAACATGGTGGGACCCTAAGAATTTTAACAATGCAGAGAGACTGGCAGAGAGGTGAGACCTTCAGACAATAAGGTGACAACAGGTTCCAAGAACATCTATTTGACAAGCATTGAGCATATGAGGGAAAGACAGAACAAATACCAAAATTATCATGCAGAAAACAACTGATGGGCTGAGATATACAGAGCACAGGTGAGTTGCAAGGAGATGACTGTTTCTATTCCAGAGTTGTATGTCTGGTCAGTCTCTTGACTTTGGAATCCTCTATGCCCTACCTTGAATGGGCATAAAACATTTATTACAGCCAGCTCTTCCAAAAAACCAGTAAAGCTGTTCCAAAAAACCAGTAAAGCAATTATGCCAGTTGTAGTCTCCCTGCCAGCAGCCCTGCCATCACCTTCTGGTCCATGCTACTGGCTTTGCCCACCTCCTTTCCTCACCAATCTCACACCATGCTCACCTCTGCTTCTAGCCTGGCTTTTTACTTTCTTACCTTCAGCTACAGGTGACACATTCTTCCTTTCCACTTTCCCAGCCAAGGAAATCCAGCTGCAGCATAGGACCACTCTTCTCTCAAATCACAGGCCAAGCACTGCAGAAGAGATTAAAAGATAGCCCCGATTTTTACAGCTTTGTGGCAGTTCTCCTAGCACTCTCAGGAATAAAAAAAGCTTTCCTGCTTTCTCCTCTCTTGACAGACTTGTACTAAATCACTAAGGGGAGGAGCAAGAGATCATCTCGTTTCCTAAGCAGCTGGGATCCCACCTGAGAAGCTGAGAAAGACAGCCCATTAGATAGAGCAGACTCTTTCAGCCCACCTCCAGGCCTGGTCCAGTTGGAATGTTTTGCAAAAAAATTGTATTAGCAATAGAGAAGAAAACCTGAAAATCACCCTGTGTTTCCTGGAAATTACAATGGAGAAACAGGAAAATGAGAAAAAAACCCCTTAGAAAATAGAGAAGCTTTATTCAGCTGGTTCAAAATTTTCCAACAACCTGACAAATAGGAGAAATAAGAGACCTGAGGATACATTCTCTCTACACAGTTAACCCAAGCTGTTCCTTGAATTTTGTTTCTTAGGTACATTTAGCTAAGGTTATCTGGCCAGGTATGGAATAAAAGCTGTTGTATGCATATACACACATCCATACAGACTGTTCCACTCAAGTGCTAATAGTCTCCCAGTGCCTTGTCATGTTTTCAGAAGAGCAAATGATCATCTCTTTGCAGCCAATGCCATTTCTTCCATTATTTCCTGGGCAAGAATTTTAACTCCCTGCAGCACAAAGCCCCATAAACCCCTGATGATACAGAGAGAAAAGCATAGCATCAGTAAAAGTGCCTTTTTGTAGCAGGACCACTCATGTGGTTCTGTCTGGCTCATCTGTGTGTCACACGTGATTGTTAATCTCTCAAATCAACTCTGCAGCAAAGATACCTTGGAAAAAGCAACAAGAAGTGTAGTACTAATGGCAGGCTACCTCAGATAAACTTCCTAGAATCAAAAACTTAAGATGAAGTTGGGGCATGGTGTAGTTCAACTGGTGGGCTGAGAAGTGATGCTGTCTAGCTTGTCAGCTTTACTTGGGGAGGGCACAAATCTGTTTCAGAAGTGAAACACTCAACTTTTCATCCTGTGCACATCCAAGGACTTAACCCAGAGCAGGTAACTTTTCCACCTGTATCTATTGGGGCAGGGTGCACGTTAAAGGTAGGTAGCCTGGTACACGCTTTGTGAAGGGGTTGTTGTGTTGTCTGACCCCATTAGACCAGGGGAAGAACCATTCTGAGTCTTTCTAGGATGCCTTTTGGAAGAGGCTGAGCACTGTGTGGAAGGCAACTTCAGGGAAAAACCCCACATGGGTTTCTCCTTTTACAAACTTCACAACAACTTTAATAATTGCCTTTATTAGGAGGATCTGCTGAAATCCACAATTTCATGCTTTTTAACACAATAAGCTTCTGAGCCTCTTCCTGCAATACAAGATACAAACTCTTGGCTGGGCACACAGTTTAAATATTTTCTGGATTTAGAAATACTTTTAAAATAAAGACCAAATGTCTCTATTGAGTAAACTAATTTCTGTGTTATTAATAAGAGAAGCAGTTAAAGCCTGCCTTATTGAATTGTGTATTTAACTGAACACTGATCTAACTCCCACTGAAAACCATCCATGTCTTTCCATTACTTTCAGTGGATGTTGGACTTGTCTCTTGATGCTTAAGAGAATAGCTAAGCAGGAAGAACTCAGTTACATTTCTGAGCAAAGAAACAGCTTGCTGTTTTGACTTAGTTCAAGTGAACAGTACATTGTGAATATTCCTGTGTATAAAATTACACTGTGTGTAGCTGACAACTGCAGGGCTCCTCGCCATGGCTAACTGCACAAAAAAAAAACCAGGACAGCAAATAGGTGCCAGGTGTCTGCTTTTAAAATGCCTTCAAGTATTAGATCTCCTCCTGTTTGACTGCTGGGTCTCTTACCAAAACCCTCGGGGCACAGTTCAACAGCTCTCATGACTAAGCTCCACAGACTTGTGTCACAGTCACATTTGCACTGCTCCCTGTCCCTTGACAGGTTGAAAAGGCACCAGCAAAGCAACAGAAGCCCACAACTCCATGGCAACTGTGGAGGAGAGCACTGGTCTCCCTGTCAGTGGCAATCTCTCTCTGCTAGCCACGCATGGAGGGAGACACACAAGCCTAGGCAAGGGTGACTTGAGGAGAAGCATCTCTGGAGGTCAGCCCAGCCAGGGCTTGCTCTCCTCAGACATAACCACCACAGACCTGTTTCCATTGGAGTAATTTGCCTGAATTTATTCCCTTGATCTTTACCAGAGGGCAGCCAGCTTTCTGAGACTGAACTCGAACTGGCAGAGCAACCAGGTGAACAGAGTCGGAGCTGCAGATGTTTGAGTGCATCAGCATCACTGGTGCGGGCCAGAGGATTCCTACCCCGGCTGTTTGGGGACAAGCCCGCAGTCCCTGAGCCTCCTGCTTGCATGATGAAGAAATGGTCGGTGCACGATGCTGTAGCACGTAGTCAGGCTCCTCTGAGCACACAGGCTTGAGCGCAGCTCGCTGCTCCTGCCCTGGGATTTTCCCCGGAGTTCCAGCACAAGGCGCCCCCGGCAGGGGTCACCCTGTCCCGCGGAACTCTGTCCCGGCGCTGCTCCCGCCCCGGCACTGCTACCGGGGGGGGTCAGGTGTTCATTCCTGCGGCTTTTTTGTTTTTTCCCCCCTGAGCTTCTGAACAGGAAGGGAGAATATTCCGTGCCTGCTGTATTTATGCCGCCGTCCCTTTTAAGTCAGTTTCCTAAGATACCCAGCTACAAGAAAGATGTGAATAACTTCGTTCACGCTGTCACCAGGAAGAAAAGCGGGAGAAAAAATAGAGTTCCAAGAATACAGAAAGACAAGTTCAAGGGAAGTAAAATTATGTATGTACTATCAGTTTGCTTTTTCTCTTACTCCAGAGGCAACTCTGCCGCAGGGAGCAATGCCAGCCATACTCAGAGATTTTTCCTACAAGAGTCACCTCTGTTGAAGGGAAATGTTCTGTGTGATGCTGAAATTAAGAGTTCAAAGGAAGGGAAAGAAATGCTCAAAATAATAATCAGTGCATCAGGGACCAGGTTTGATTTTTTTGTGGGGTTGCATCTGCCTGAAGGAAAGGCAGTAGGCAGGATCCTGTGCTGGAGGGAGCTCGCAGTGCCAGGCTGCTTTGCCTGAGGCTGACCCTCGTGTTTGTCCATGGAGCTCATTCCAGTGTGTGAGTGCTGCTGGAGGTCCCTGTGGGGCATGGTCAGAGCTCCTCCCTTCACGAGTCTGTGTTTCTTCTCCCCCCCTCGTACTGATTTAGTCTCTTTCTTTTCCCTTCCTCATTTTGTTCCTCTATTCCTCTGATACTGTTCCTTATGACCCAGTTTGCCTTCTCTCCAGCATGCAGAGGAGTCACTAGGCTTTTTCCTGTCCTTGCTGCACTGCAGTTCTTTATACGCTGAACAAAAATGTTCCATTTAAAATACCAGCCATTGCTGCTGAACCACCAAACCCCTCCAATTTCAAAACAATGTCTGAACAGCTGGGACAAATGTTTGTCTCACAAAAAGTAAGACACAATTTACCACTATGCCCTACATCCTCGGGGAGACACAAAATACACATCTAGACCACATTCTCAAATAAGCCCCTAATAATCGATAGACAAGAGTAGCTGGCAGGAACTGAGATGTCTCCCGTTTTGAGGCATTTGAACTCAACATCCAAATGGTTTTATGTTGCATAAGTCCCTGTTTTATAAACAGCCTGTAGTGCTGAGACAGTGTGCTGCAGCAGCTCTTGGGAGCTCTCTCTTGTGAAGCCACACTGTTTCCTAAATTACTCTGTTCTCACTTTTAATATTATCCAGAATGATGAAACTAAATTTGTTCCTTACAGCTTTGCGTTAACTGCCTGTCTCTGTCAGTGCACTTCAGACCAAGCCAAAATACTGAATGGTGGGAGCACAATTGTGCTGCACAATGCAATGCTTTGGCATGAGTTCAAGAAGCTTAATGCCAGAAAGGGTCAGTAAATAATGTCATTACTCCCTATATATACAGAACTTTAAATTTAATTACAGAC